GCTCAACCAATGACCAAAGCCGAAACGTGTTTGTGGTAACTGGCGCGGAAACACGCTCGGTCATTGGATTAGCGACCGCGCCTTCAAGTAAGTGCGCGTGCGTATGAGGGTGGTTACTAAGCAAATGAATATGCAGTGCGCACATTCATGCTGCATAGTCTGGCCCCCGGACCAGACGTGATATGAGCGTCGAGAATAATTGTCCGGTCTAGGGAACCAGACTACACGCTGCACAGACGTACATCATGTACGACTAGAATAGACTCGGCGGTGAGAAACTGATGAAAAGAGTCTACAAACACGTACAACAAGTTTAACGTTGCTTTCGAGTTTATTTTCCAGATTTAGTCCGAGTAACTTGGACCCAACTTATCGCCTTTTTTAACATTTGGACATGGTCTGGCGATCGCCAGACCATGTCCAAATGTAACTTATCGCCTTTTTTAACATTTGGACATGGTCTGGCGATCGCCAGACCATGTCCAAATGTTAAAAAAGGCGATAAGTTGGGTCCAAGTTACTCGGACTATTCCAGATTAAGGTCGGTCAGCATCGCATTAGTCCGAGTAACTTGGACCCAACTTATCGCCTTTTTTAACATTTGGACATGGTCTGGCGATAGTAAGGTCCAAGCTAATACCGAGACCTAGACAACACAGTCCCAAAAACCAACATTTTCCAACAAAAAACATCAGATTTCACCTTCAAAACGGCCTCCAAATTACTAGATATGCTACCTGAGGTACAAGTAGGCATCGATAATTAAGATGGTTGTACTTAAGTTTACTTACGATCCGGAAAAAAAAAGGGCAATTTTTCGTTCAATTCTGAAGACCCCCTCTGCCTAGGTTGTCGTTGTTGTGCTCACGTTCAAAACTGCATGATAATGGTGTCTGACCTCGACCTCATGCAAATGTCTGGACGGCGCGCTTGCGCATAATGCACTGCATGCACGGCAGATTCCCCTGCGCCGCGCCGACGACTGTTTCCTGATGTAGAGCGCCAGCCATGCGCCTGGCTAGCCAGCGCGACTCCTAGGCGTACCGCGAACTTACACAGCACTCTACATCAGGAAACAGTCGTCGGCGCGGCGCAGGGGAATCTGCCGTGCATGCAGTGCATTATGCGCAAGCGCGCCGTAACGACATTTGCATGAGGTCGAGGTCAGACACCATTATCATGCAGTTTTGAACGTGAGCACAACAACGACAACCTAGGCAGAGGGGGTCTTCAGAATTGAACGGAAAATTTCACTTTTTTCCGGATCGTAAGTAAACTTCAGTACAACCATCTTAATTATCGATGTCTACTTGTAGTATGGAACGCCGTATTATCGCGGTACTTATCACGTTTCTCGTTCGGAATAGAGATTGCCCACTAACCTTCCTGAATTGTCCTGTCTTATGTGTAGTATAACTCTTCCTTTTTAAATTGATATAAAAAAATCTGACGGGTGGTGTGGTTTATTCCGTGTACGATGCCTGTTAAAATAGACATGCGCGGCGTGTGCGAACGAAGGTGGACTCCCTATTATCGCGGTATGCGGGAAGTGGTTTTTATAATGATCCCAACTTTTTTGTTCATAGTTTATCTTTGACCAAAACACCCCCTGAATAAAGTCTGATATTTTCCCTGTAACGTTCAAGTTGATTAAAGACAAAATGTCTGCAGGATGATTTCTTAAGACCCTGCCCTTCCCCCGAAAGGAGAACACAAATCCCTGAGGCAAGTCTACTAATCGGCGATTGAGGGCGCCATTCACTTTACACGGTGTGCCGTTTTATTTTCACTAACGCGCGGTGCTTATTTTGATCCCGTAAAAGTTGTTACGATTTCGCGCTGCAAATATCGTCGTTCGACTTCATTTTACATTTGCAGCTGAAGAATGGGAACCAGACAATGGAACTTTCATGGACAGAGCACAATTAAAGATTTATGTTAAAATATAAACGGTACCTTTTAGCAGACACGGTGAGGGAAAATTTTGCAAGTTTTGGAAAACGTTAATATTTATTAAAATCGTTAAAAGTCCCGAAAGACACAACATTTTTTAATCGTCCTTTTTATACATTTCGGTAGAAAATCCTTGATGACTGGTGAACTGGATAAAAATCGCCACTTGAAGGAGTTTTGACACTGTAAAAAGAGAAATTTCCCATGCCGCGATAATAGGGATGCCGCGATAATAGGGAGTCCGACTATACCTCCGGTGGCATATCTAGTAATTTGGAGGCCGTTTTGAAGGTGAAATCTGATGTTTTTTGTTGGAAAATGTTGGTTTTTGGGACTGTGTTGTCTAGGTCTCGGTATTAGCTTGGACCTTACTATCGCCAGACCATGTCCAAATGTTAAAAAAGGCGATAAGTTGGGTCCAAGTTACTCGGACTAGGAGGAAAGGGAGTCCACCAGGGCTAGCATTGGCTAGGTCCCAGTCTGAGTTTTTGCTGTGTAAAATTTTCTGCCACACAGTGTGTGGCAGAAAATTTTAATTTTTTCCAAACCTCCAAACTCTCCTGTCACAAAATGGTTGGCATTATTTTGGCATGGTTATGCACATCTAGGGTGGGTTCAAATCCCTGAAAAGTCAAACAAAAACGTGAAATTTACCAGAATTTCGCTCACCTGACCAAGATCACGGAAAGTTTACTCCGCTGTCTGTCATCGTTAGCTGTCGACTGAGGGCGCTGTGTGCATGTGCTATTAGGTATTGGTATTAAAAAATAAAATATAATGACGAGAGCACAGTGCCCCCTCAGTCGACAGCTAGCTAACGACAACAGACAGCTGAGTATAAAACTTTCTGTGTCTGTGATCTTGGTGAGCGAAATTCTGGTGAATTTCACGTTTTTGTTTGACTTTTCAGAGATTTGAATCCACCCTAGATGTGCATAACCACGTGACAGCCGAGTTTGGAGGTTTGGAAAAATTGACAATTTTCTGCCGCAGCAACTTCAATTTAATGGGTCTTTCTGTAAGGTTTGTAAAATAAAATACCTTATACAGTTCTGGAAGTAGCCTACCACGATTAAAATAATGGGCGTCCCATCCTACATAGCGGATCGAAAAATGGCAGAGTCCTTAAAAATAAAATACAGGCGATCGTGTCGTGAACTTGAGGGCCCCTGTTTTGTTTTGAACAAATAAGAGTAAAAAATGTCGTGTATTATTGATCAAATCTCATTTTGCAATAAAAAAAATGACTTTTCTTAATTCGAATGTAATGACACCCGTTTTGCAATGTCGAACAGTTTCTTGGGGTAGAAATCACGATTTTCCTGCGCAGTTTGTGCCTTCAAGTTGCGATTCAGCGCGCCGCGTGCGTGCTCACGGTACATCGCACAGTGATCGCCATCTTTATTTTCGGGTTGCGTGTTGTCGCCGCGCTGTGTCATCAGCATAGTACCCCCAAATTTCCCTCAAAAAAATCAAAACCCTGCCCTCCATCTATGACATACCTGTTTATTGAGAATGTCGCCAACTAACTAGTTTGGTTGATCTAATAATTTTTAAACCAAGACCGTATATACACCCCCAAAATCCCGGTACATACCGTTATTTCCTTTTACCGTTTTGAATTTCCTCACAAACAAAAACATATGTGATAACTGGAACAGAATCTTGGTTGAACAGTAGCACTACCAATGGTGAAATTTTCCCACCTAATTATCAAGTCTTTAGGAGGGACAGATGTGGAAGTGACACTGGGGTGGCGTCTTCATTGCTGTCAGAGACAATTTACTTGCCAATGAAGCCGGAGACTGAACTTCAGACGGATTGTGAAAGTGTTTGGGTCAGTATCCATGTAAAGGGAGTGACACCTATGTATGTGGGTGTTTTCTACCATTCACAAGCTACTGATGCTGATTACATCAAGGAACTTGAGTAAAATCCCACCAAAGCCCCCTGTTTGGCTACTGTGGGACTTTAACCTTCCTGACGTGGACTGGGAAAAGTTCAGTTTCACTACCGGAGGGGTCATACGCTGGTCATGGTCCAAGTAAGGCAATGATAGAAATTGCACTTGATCACAACTTACATCAGCAAGTGAAAGAACCAACTATAGATGTAACAACATCCTTGGTTGTGCTTCACAAACTCACCATCTTTCGAGGTTATTCCTGCAGGCATCAGTGACCACGAAGCGGTTGTTGTGAATGTGTCAGCAAAACCAAATTAGTATGGCCAGTCAAACGTTAGGTTTTTCTTTACAAGAAAGCCGATTATGTTTCCATTGGAGAGCGATTCAAGCAATTTGATGAAAAGCTTACTCCTGACTACATAAATTCCCAATCTGTTGACGACTTGGTTACAAAACTGAACCGAGCAATTGAGAGTGCTATGGACCAGTTTATCCCATCCAAGATGTCTTCTTCTAGGTGGAAATTAACTTGGATCAATAACTCCATTAAGAGAGACATCTGCAAGAAGAAACGCCTGTATAGAACAGCTAGGAAAAGTGGTTCCCCTTCGATGTGGGATCTCTTTAAGAAACATCGTAGACATACTGATAGGAGAATTAGAAAAGCCAAAAGGGAGTACTCCATTCATTACATCATTGGTGGAAGTCTGGTGATCAGTAATAACACTCAACCTTTCTGGAATTTTATAAAGTCTAAGCGACAGGCAACTTACCCAAAGCTTGGCTTGATGCTAATGTTACTCCATTGTATAAGAAATGGGACAGGAACTATAGACCAATTTCGTTGACATCAATCCCATGCAAGGTTTTGGAACACATTTTACATTATCACATTATGAAGCATCTAGAGAAACATCACATCCTAGTGGATTTTCAACATTCGTAAAGGCCGATCTTGCAACCAATGTCTGCTCTCGTTGCGCGATCTCGCAAGAATTTGGATAACAAAGGCCAGGCAGATTTAGTCATCATTGACTTCAGTAAGGCGTTTGATTGTGTGCCTCATTAACGTCGCCTGAAAAAAATCAACCACAATGGGCATCAGAAATAACACTTTGAAATAGATTGATTCTTTCCTCACCAATCGTCATCAGCAAGTCGTGCTGCAGGGTGAATCTTCCAACAGGACTAAAGTGGTCTCTGGGGTCCCTCAGGGAACAGTCCTGGGACATCTTCTGTTTCTGGTGTACACAAACGACCTGCCTTCTAAGGTTCACTCCAATGTTTGGCTTTTTGCGGACGACTGCATCGTTTATCATGAAATAAAAACCGCAGTGGACTCCCCTATTCCCGACAGACTCCAATCAAGGGGATTGGCAAATGCCTTTCAACACTTTTAAAAGCTTCACTGATGGTTCCTCATACCTGCTTCCTCCTGGAATCAGTCTAAAGGAGTTTAATCATGAGGAGGCCTTGTTGATTGCTGGGTTGATTAAGAAAAATGAGGCAGCTTTTTCAATGAGCCCTTTAGATATTTAGAGGTGTACTCTTATTCCTCACGAGATTAAGTTGACAAATGACCAGCCTATCAGAGAACCGTACAGACGTATCCCTCCCCCATTACATGAAGGAAGTGCAGACATTGTTACAGGATTTGCTGGAGAAGGGAGTTATTCAAAGGTCTGGGAGTCCTTATGCAAGCCCTATGGTCCTTGTTCACACGAAGGATGGGTCAATCCGACTAATTAGCGCTATTACACTTACAGATGCATTCCCGCTTCCGCGGTTTGAAGAAACTCTAGAGGCGTTGGGGGGCTCTCGCTACTTCACTTCATTGGACATGGCACACGGGTATTTTCAGCTATGTATGCATCCAGACTCAGTAGATATGACCGCATTTAGAGTTCCATGGGAACTTTTCTCATTCACCCGTATGCCGCAGGAGTTATGTAATAGCCCAAGCACATTTCAAAGGACCGTTGAGTTGATTTTCGGGGACATAAATCTGTTTGAGTTGATTTTGTACCTCGATGACATTCTGGTGTATTCCAGTACATTTCAGGAACATCTTGAGAGATTAGATGTTGTGTTTCGACACAAAAGGTAGTAAGTGTCACTTCTTCCAAAGTGGAGTCAAGCATCCAGGGCATTGTGGTTGGTAGTTCTGGAGTTGCAGTGGACCCTGACAAAGTTGAGCGAGTTGCAAATTGGCCAACTCCAAATAGCACCGAGGAACTCCGTTCGTTCCTCGGACTCGCTTCGTATTATAGGCGTGATCATCTGTGGGTTTTCCAAGGTGGCGGCTCCATTACATGCACTAGTGGGTCCGCCCTTGAATTTGACTAGTCCTGCTAGTTAGGCCAATGCAAAGGGACTAATTTTTTTTTATCTAGAGAGGGGCACTGTTGCTTTGATGGCCAATTTAGTGACCATTTTATTTGTGTGAGGATCAGAAGCATATTCTTTTTTTCACAAGTCAGTCAAGGTCCATCTTGAGAGGGGCAAAGTTTTAATGTTGTGAGCGGGACACTAATATTGTTCTTTCGAGGGGTGGTTTTCCATCTTGATATTAAAGTTATCGCGAGAGGGGCACCCATTGTTGTTGATGGCTAATTTCCCATCTCGAGCGGGGCACTATTTTATTATTGCGTGAGCGCTGTGTGTGCTTTGCGGGGGAAAGTTTTCCATCTCGAGAAGGTTCACAATCTTGTTAATGCGCGAGGGGTATTTTGTTTTTGAGGGGCACTTTTGCACAAAAGAGGAGACAATAATTTGTAAGCGTAATCATAATGCTTTCACGTGCGTTTTAGGGGCAGTTTTGTTTCCATCTCGAGGGGGCACATTATGACCGCGCGAGGGGCACTTTTGTTGGCCCGGGAAAATCATAACTATCCTAATCTGACATCTTGACAATTTTCTCTGTTGATTAGGATGATCAGTGTCAATGGGTGATCTATAAATATTGTTCAAGCATCATACCAAATTTGAGGCGGGTCATTTGAGGCGATTTTAATATGATATTTTTAAAAAATGAATTTAGGCCTAATTGATTTATTTTTCAAAATTGGAGGGGAATCTGTTGATTGGGACAGAGAGATATGGGGTTAGGGTTTTGTGCCCGATGGGGCGTTGGGCCACCCTTCAGGGGGAGTGTGGGATAGGGTAGAAATATATAACTGTAAAGCCAGGGAGACAAGTGTAGCGTGAATATCCGACTCCATAAAATATGGACTCATTGGTTGTACTGCGCATGCGTAAGTTGATAATAGGCCTATTTACAGGTCTATAGGAGAGTGACTTGTCACGTGAGTCCAAAACGTCATAGCGTTCACCCCATGCAGATGCGGTTTGGGGAAAACAATTCGCGGCCCAGATATCACAACGTTGAACCAGAAAAGTTGTTTTGACAAACAAAAAGTATAGTGCCATAAGTATATTCTATGAAAATAAGTAAAAAAAAAATACTTAGTTTAAACCGGTTGCCATTGGAACCATGGACACCCCACACAGTTAGTTTGGGATGAGACCCGCGATACCAGTTAGGAAAATTCACAAAATTTGATGCCAACAAACTATACATTCCAGAATTATTAACAAAGAATAGGAGGGGGGCATACTGCAATAGGCCAACTATAGAGTCATGAGTATGCCACACTACTAACAACATAATTAGGTTGACATAATTATAACAAAATTATCAATTTCCACGCATATACAGTAATTCTCCAAAGGAAAAATGTTGTTTACAGTGGAACATTTTAATAATCAAATAAAGCTGTTTAAAAAAAGTAAACATTTTGCACAAATTGTCATTTGCTGAATTGAGTGCATGTAATGTCAATTTTGTTTCGATAAAATGATAAAGCGCAACAGTACAGAGACAAGGGCGGATCCAGGGGGGGGGCCAAAGGGGGCCATGGCCCCCCCCCCCCAAACGAAACCAATTTTTTTTTTTTTAATGTGACATCGCAATAAAGGCAGGCAATGAGTTCACCACCATCTTTTCCTCCAAAAAAATTGGTTAAAGTGGTCAGAAATTGCCTCAGATCGCACCACAGAGCATCTAGAATCCAAAAATTTTTTTAGACCCACTTTTTGGGGGGACCAAAATTTTTTTGGGCCCCCCCCAAAATTGTGTTCTGGATCCGCCCTTGTACAGAGACAGGTTCTCGAGTACACCATTCATGGTGTACAATGTACGAAATACACAACTCCAAATATAGCTTAATACGGGCCTTACAAGCAAAACATTTGTTGAATTTTTGATGGCTTCATATCTGTATTTTTATTTCATGAAATAAATTCTTACCTTTGTGTAAAATTTGGCGTTTTCATACAAAATGCATATTTTAATATCGGTTTTCCGAAACAAAAGAAATCATAATGTTAGATTACCTTTTTTTGTTGATGAATTAAGAAAGCAAGCGTGGAAAATAATTACACATAATCTAATCGGTCCTTTTAATAAAGACGTCGAAGAGATTATAAATATATCTGACAGTAAAGTTTCAGCTTAATACCACTCACAAATTGAATGGCCGAAGCATTGAAATGAACGATAAACGAATTTCTTAATTCAACTTCATCCTTTAAGCTATACATGAGACAAATTTCCCAAGTCTAAAACGAATCAGAATGGTACTTTTGCTAATTAAATGCATTAAATATCAAATCTATTGGTGTGAATTTGAAATTGGAATTAACGATGGATCCCTTTTCCAATGAACCCTATCCCTTAGAGTACTATTCCCTTCCCTTAAGAAATCAATTTCCTAACTTATCAGGACCGACAACTGCCTAGCGGAAGACGAAGGGTCGAGCCCATCAGAAGGATCGGCATCTGCCTTCGGGAGACCTCGGAGGATCGTCTAGAGACTAGGAAATGCCTTCCCCCTCATATGGAAATCCTTTTCCTTAAGAATCCCCCTCCCCTCTAACCCCTCCAGGCGCGGATCCGGGGGGGGGGGGGGGGGGGGGGAGGGGGTGTCAATTCCCCCCAGCTCTGTCAAACATTTTTTTCCAAAGAAATGCATGGGGAAAAAATAAGACCCCCCCCCCTGCTCTGACACCCAAAAATAGTTTACTGGTAATACTGTTCGCCTTTGTACAAAATACGGAAATATCCAGCTTGGTTATATAGGGGGTGTATGTACACTATTCTGTGATATAGTGTTAATAATCGTCGGATTTGGACAGCGCCCCCATTAAAAGTATGGTTGTAAAGTATGGAGCCCCCCCCCCCTCCCCCCGAGTCCCTATTGATTTTCGGAGGCCAAGACGAGAAAAAAAAACCTGTCTACATATCAGATTTTTTTGGCCGACGGAACCCCCCCCCTGCGAAAATTCCTGGATCCGCCCCTGCCCTTCTCTTAATCCTAAAGGGGCCGGGGCGGAGTAACCCCCCCCCCCTTCTCAATTTTTGTTTTCCACGATAGCCTTGAAAAAAAAAATTCGCGACCCGAGCTGTTCTGACTTTTTAGCCTCGACCCTAGCGCATCTTTTGATACCAAAAACATAAAATTCGGACCACGGGTTTTCCAGCGCTACTACAGTACGCGCCGTGAAAATACATAGTGTGCACAGAGCAGAATTACCATTCGTGCAAAGCACAATAATTAATTACCCATAATTCTAAAATCCTTTGACCTTTAGTCATGAAATTTCTTGGGTATGTTAATGAATAGTTTTTCTATGCATGTACCGAGTTTCATAATTTTTTCGTCACTCGATGGCCGAGAGAGATGGTCAAAATAACCCGGCCCTTTTAGTGTTAAATAGAGATACCTTGGCATTAAGGAATTCTAAAGATTCCAGTTGATGGTTGATTAAAGGGACTTTTGAACCTAAAACTTGTATGTCCGCAGCCAAGTTCTTGTCTTGTCTCGTAGACTTGTTGTTCGAATATTTTTATAAGGGAAAACTTTGTGTTACGTGCGGCGACAGTCTCTAAACGAATTATCGCCATAACACCATCTGGACTACCGCTTGTCCAGTGGGTTCTTGATACAGTTAAACACTCGAAGAAACCGAGATTTGCCAGTGTCTCTCCGCGGAATTTGAAGGATATACCTACTGTGTTTTTTTTTTACGGTAACTGGCAATTTACAATACATGCATGCATGTACCCGCTTGGCTAACAGTTAAATTTGTTTCATTGGCGTTCCATACTAAAGAGTAACCTTGGAGGTGCGTGTGTACTTTGGTCCGTGTACACAAAAGACGATAACATTAACAATACGCATAGTGTAACAACCAGTTTAAAAATAGATTTTCAGAATTACACCTTATATTACGCGGTACGACAACACTAGCGCTATACATGTAGTCGCGTAACTTGCATTGGCAATGAGCTACATGTTTTTGACGAAAAAGTGTTGGATTTTCATTTGCCTAACTTTAAGTAGTTAAGTGGAACGCTGGCCAGGTGAGACGTCCACACTGGGTGGGCTAATGTAAGGCCTGCATCACCGGTCACAGGCTCTATGACGGGTTTTCATCCACGTAAAAAAAACGCGGTTGAGTTGAGTCATCGTTGTGAGTGCGTTGGTCTGGTCCTAGCTCGAGCTCCACTGAAGCAGTGCCTCGGTCGCATTGGTTGTCATGTGAACTACCACGGGTGATATACATTACTGAGGTAACTTACTGTCCGCTTTCTCTTGTGACGTTCATGCTTATGTTTTTACTCTCTTTTTTTTCAAATGAAAGCAACATTTCAATTGAAACAGAAACCCCCAAAAATATGATACACAGTTACCTCGTGCTTCTATCCTTCCTCCATGGTCGAACAAAGCCGGCCGGGGTATCACCACCAGTTGCCTTTTCAAATACGCAACCATGGTTATACTCTTATGATGCAGCCGATACCATACCTTTTCTCTGTCACATATTGTGTTTATAGTCTGATTCCAAATTCATAAGAATCTGATGGACGAAAACGGTGGCTCTTTTCTGTTGTACGTGCACCGTGCCCGGCTCTGATTGATGGTTGTGGAAATTTAACGTACTTGACATGACATTGTGTTTGTGGTACCATGGAGGAACGGTGGTATATATACATTTACTAATAAAACAACTATCAACTCGTCTGCCGCAGTGGAAACCAGAATTAAAGGTTTGCGAAACCCAACGAACGATTAGTGTTAAACTACAAATGGTTCAACGATCAAAAAGCTGATATAATCTTTTTACAAGAGACGCATTTCACTGAGAACATAACTTCATGATTTGTGTGATTTACAGGACGGACGGTAACAGCTTTCACTCTTATGGCGATTCTTATAGATAGGGAACCAGCATTATTGTTAAAATCTCTGCCAATCTTGACCGTGATAAATGGGCTTCAGTGTGATTCTTTTAGACGAATATGTTTAATCAACACAACCCTATGGTCAAATCTGTATCATTTATGAATAAGTTATACACTCTAGTCACGTGTAAACAAAGAGTAAGTTTCTTATAGAAAGGTTGAAAATGGATCTCCCAATAAGTACCGAAAAATAACGAACTTTAATAACGTACTTTAATAATATATATACAACGTGTCCCAAAACAATGTCCCTCTCATAGACCACAGAATAATTACTAAAATCAAGTTTTATACTCAATTAAGTTTACATATTTAGAAAGCCCACTTAATTTTGTAGTTCCTGTGAAAATTTCAAAGGTCTCGCTTCATTGGTTTTGAATACACAGGCTTTTATGTAACATCAGTGCTTTCCGGCCCATTCCAAGTTTGATAAAAAGAAATGCACACTACAGACATAACATACCTTATTCCATGCTTCACTTTTAATTCAACAACTGTGTTGTTGTTTTTGTTATTGAGTAACTAAAGTCAAGTTCATTAACTTTTTAAATGAAAAATAATCAAAGTTCAGTTCCACTGGTCATGTTTGCTTTCACAGGGTGTGTTCCACTTATGGTTTGTCCTTCAATGTCCAGCTTGTAAACCTTTATTGTCCCGCTGCACGTCCTTCCACCTGCAAACTTGGAATGGGCTGAAAAGCACTGCTGTTACATAGTAGACTGTGTATTCAAAACCAATGAAGCGAGACCAATTAAATTTTCACAAAAGTTTCAAAATTAAATGGGCTTTCTTAATCTGAACACTAAATTGAGAATAATACTTGATTTTGGAATTAATTAAGCAGTCTATCAGAGGGACATTTTTTTGGGACACGATGTATATTTTAATTATCAGAATGCACTAAGAGCTGGATAGGGTTAAATAAATATTTCCGGAACAAATCCCAAGATTGTGTTATAGCATATAGTAACTGAAGAGATGTATAAACTCCAAAAACGCCCTAGACAGAATATAATTATGTATTAAATCAAGAGCAAACACAAGAGAAATGCGAGGGAATAATCACTGTGGCAAAGTATGAATGAGCTTTAAGCAAAACCGACCAAAGTCGAGGTACAGACGGTTTAACGGTAGAATTTTATAGCAAATTTTCGAATCAAAATATTAACCCTTTACATTGAATCAATGAATAGAAGTTCCAACGAAGGAGATTTGTCTTTTCTAGTGTATCACTGCTTTGTAAAGAAAAAAGTGACCAAACAAATACAAAAAAATGGAGAGCAATTAGTCTAATGAACATAATTCAAAATAGCAGCAGAAGCCCTAGCAAATTGTCTTTATGTTATCGTGTAATATCAGTGGCGTAGATCTGTGCCGGCGAGTTGGGGGGGGGGGGGGGACTAAAATCCAAAAATTATCAACTGGCAAGCCGTAAACAATTCGGGGGGGGGGGGGCTGACACCACATTACACTAGGGCACTAGAGGGCGCTGTTTTTTTCTCTGTCCGTCTCCATAGGACCTGACGACGGGCAGAGCATATACTGTCGGAAACGTTGAGTTTCCACCTGTGTTTTCAGAAACTCTAAAAAAGAAATTTGTATTGTGGCGCTTCCGTAAATCATTATCTTATTATACAAAAATAGTTCACAATCCCCTCTCGTGTATGACATCAAGGTTATACATGTAGTGGGCTTGTCGGGGCTATGAGCATTCTTACAAAACTCCCAGGATCACCTATGGATACATCAAGTGCAAAACCACTTAATGACATTTTCCCAAAACCGTTTTAAGGGGGGGGGGGGGAATGTTCATGTTCCACTCTACAATCACACTTCAAATTGGTGTTTGCCCATTTATCCCCTGACATTGACATCAAATTTGATTTTTACATCCAAGTTTCTAATTTTCATGTTTTTCCCTGCCCTTTTATATTTTTAATCCACCCTAAATGTTTACATTAATGTGTTTGATTACCTAATTTTAGTGAAAGAGATGGCTTTTAATCAAAATTCTCTACTTAATTCTAAGCATTCCCACTGTATTTTACAAAGGGTAAAATACAATTGACCTATCGCCGTTTTCGAGTTGGCCACGCCCCTTAGACAACCTTATGGAGTTTTTGTACGCTAAGTTTTGTTTGTCTCAGATGTTGCGCGTTCCGCGTCCATTTGTATATCATGTAATTGGACAATATTTCAAAAGCTGCGCTGACGCGATTCTAACGCGATTATGTCTCTTGCATAATTTAAAGGGAAAATACAACATTTGCAAACATCAAAAAACGAAATGATCAAATTACCACGAAATACCTTACTGAATTGTTAGGGACTGACAGTCTAAAGCATCCTTTAAAATCGTGGCTCCTGGTGGGCTGACATTTTCAAGAAAAACTGTATTTTTCCAACGCTGGTCGGCCGACCAAACTGTTCTTAATTTTTCATATTTAGTTATTCTGACTTTTCTTTGCAATTGATCACACACCTGTGAAGGGGTACAAGCCTGCTAGACTGATTCTCTGACCTTACAATTCCCCAAGGTGTATTAATTGCTTCGTTTCATCTTAAGTAGGGTCAGGGAACCAGACTACAAGAACATGATAGGTTTTCTTGGTTTTTCCAGCATTTACAAGCCCAAAACATGGAACAAGTCAGTTTAACAATATTTTATATAACATACTAATCCTCCAAATCCATTTATTTCTGAAAATTGCAGCAAAAGCAAATGTTGTACATTCCCTTTAAGTACTGCTTACTGAGGGGCAGATAGGGGAAATATTTGGGGGATTGCATTTCCGTTCGTAAAACAAGACCCCGCCCCAGAAGAAGCTCTTCTGCAGTAGAAAATTTACATCAAGAGCATTTGTTTTTGTTGCACTAAATAATCTCTGAATTTTCAGAGAATCTAGCCGAAATTGCATATGGATGATAATTTGTGACCATACTGATCCTAATCATTATAGTCCCTGGGATAAGGCCATTTATTTGCTAAATTTTATGATAAATCTTAATATTATTTTCTGCTGAAGGATTTATTGGGATATCCGGAAATGGTGCTATTAATTGGCACAGCCGGTATTTTTGCCTTCCAGCTCAAGAAACTGTAATTTGTGAAGCTAATTTTGTGGAAAAAAGATAAAATCATATTTTGGGCCACTGCTGTCACAAAAAAGTCTCCACCGTGACCTGTTGTCAGTTTTACCATCTTGATAGGATGGGTATTAAAACAAGAGAAAACATGGCTGGTCCCAATTTGTGGTATCCGAGGGCAGTCCTGCATGAGCATTGATCTTTAGGAATTAAACACATCGTGTTCAGCTTCTATGCACAACATGTGTTAGTAGAACGTCTTAGACATTGCTAGGACGGCATTTCTGGCGAGTCAAAACTTGAATTCCCTCCTTTATTACCGAAATTCCCATACATAGGCTATGTACATATTATGTATTCAACAGTACTGTACAATACTGACAGTACTATACTTACAGGCAGCCCCCCCCCCCCCACCAGGCTAAAAACAGATGAGAGTAATTTTAGGATTTTTCAAAGAGGTCAAAGGATTTTCAAAGAATAATTGTAACAAAATGCACTATTTATGATTTTGTTTTTTTGGCATCAAAGCACGTAGAAAAGTGCAGAAAAATAATATGCCCTGCAAATACATACCACAAGAGAAAACGCATTAAAAATAGTGATGACTCAGCATGACTCGGTACTTTTTAAATGATGGCTCCCACGGCCGTCAAGGACTAGATACTCTAGTAGATATAGCGATACCCCAATATCCACATTGGTTTATACACTCAACCAAAAAAGAAAGTCCCCCCTTTCAATACTTTTTGTCTAACTCAATAACTACTGAGCACCTCTCGCTCAAATAACGACTAATCAGTACAGGAATTCCTTAGCAATCCAGCCATATTCTTTATTTGGCCCAAAACAGTGGTAATGTGTACGAATTTATGCAATTTATGACAAATGGTACTGAAAAAAAGTTGCACTTTTGTATACGTACAAGTTGCGGTTCACACTCACTTTGCATGTATACAAAAGTGCAACTTTTTCGGTACCATTTGTCGTAAATTGCATAATTTTGTACACATTATCACTGTTTTTGGCCAAACAAATAAGAGTATGAATGGATTGCTAAGGAATTTCTGTACTGATCAGTCTTATTTGAGCAAGATGTGCCCAGTAATTTTTGAGTTAGACAAAAAAAGTATTAAGGGGGGACTTTCTTTTTTGGTTGAGTCTATGATATTGGTCTATCTATGTGCCACATTTTGGTGCTGTTATCATAAAAAAATGCACAATAGGTTTGCTATGTCTTTCCATATATACGGCCGGATTTCAGCGATTTAGGGGTTTAGAAAAAAACGGCTATAGGAAGCCCACTTTATTCAGACAGAAGCTCATCTTTACCACTACAATCAATGCTTTTAGTCTCGGACACTTTTTTTAATTACAAAGAAAGTTTGTATCTTAAGAATAACTGTGAGGGTGTCCTCAAACTCAAAGCAATATGCCCTCGGATATGCGGATAAAATGGGGACCAACCATGTTTTAATACCCATCCTATCAAGATGGTACAAAGTGACAACAGGTCACAGTGGAGCCATTGTTTGTGACAGCAGTGACCCAAAATATGATTTTATCTGTTTTCCACAAAACTAGCTTCAAAATTTACAGTTTGTTAGAGCTGAAGGCAAAAATACCAGCTGTCCCAATGTATACTACTGTAGATCATAGTAAAGGTACACAATTTTGCGAATGAATGGCCTTCTCCCAGGACCTATTAGGGCGAGGGTACTTTGCTGCTTGGGTTTACAATGGATTACGTTATATAATACGTTCTCATAATACGTTGCGTTTGTTCATTATTCTTTCTTCTGCAGGAATTATCTCAACAGTGAACCTGTACTATGTTGCCATCGCGTTCCTCAAACTGCACATGTCGACAGGTTTACAGCACGCTGACACTAATACATACCGGCATTGATTGTGATTGAAGTGCCCGCAAGAATAGCCTTGGACAGTCTAAATTGGGTTTTTATACGCTCGTTCTTAGAAATACTTGAACAAAGGCGGTGTCCTATAGAGTATTTTTCAATACGATTATCGCCGAGAATAGCTTGCGACTCAAACCAGTGCTCTAACAATGGGACGTGCAGCGAAGTTCTACATTGTACATCTTATTCGGTGGTAAAACCTTAGAAGTTAATCGCTAAGACGGTATTGAGACGATCAAAAGATCGATTTGAACTGTGGTAAATATTGATTCGCTCAGACAAGACGCTGATCCGGCGATAGGAAAAACCAAGGACCCATGTAAAAGAACTCCAATCCCCTCCCCCCAAAAAACCAACAACAACAACAACAACGAGGCTTTTCTGTACGCTACGTAGTGTTTAACAGTCAACTCCTGGATAGAGGATAATGGCCAGTTAACTCCAAGCTAAATTGTTTACTGCCAGTGATGAAAGGTCTACAGGGGACGCTAACAGTTACCTGCACTGCAGCCGAATGCTGACTGACCGTTCATTACAATGCAAAGTTAATCGGGACTTTGCTTCGAGAACTCCACTTTGATGAAAACCCAGCTAATATCTTTCAGGTCTACCAACGGTATAGAAGCGTTAATGAAGGTCATTGCCCATCGGTCCTTTGTGTAAAATTGTTTTATCTGAACTCTAGCGTAACATGGTTTTAATTGATCACAAAGGTAGTTTTGAAAGGTAAAGTAATGGCGTCGAGCACAACAGAAACATATTTAAGCGATCCTGACCGAGCTGTCGTAGGAAAACGCACGGACTTAGCACAGGGAGAAAAGATGTCCAGACTTACTCGTAACAGTTCGATAGTGTCAGAAAACGACGAATTGGAAAAGGACCAAGTAGACCTTTCTCTATGTGTGTTATGTCAGAAGGACCTGCAGACTCCCAAACTTCTCCCTTGCTTACACTCTTTTTGTAAAGTTTGCTTAGTAAAACTGGTTCAGGATAAAGATACCTGTGGACCTACTTCGTGCCCGTTGTGCCGGGACACTGACTCTTCCCCATTTGACGACGTAGACACGCTCACAGATAATACCTTGTTGTCATCACTACAAGAATTAAAACGGATGAAGGGTAACCATGATATGGATTTGCACCCAGATGATCTCCCACAATGTGAGGTAAAGTGCACTTCTTGTGACCGTGCTAATCCAGCAACGTGCCGTTGTACCAATTGCCAAGATTTTCTTTGCGATACTTGCACATTATCTCATAAGAGTTTGAAAATTTTACAGCATCATGAATTGATTGAAATAAATTTGTGGAGACAGCAAAACAAATCATTCGAACAAAACTGTCCTAAGCACAGCGGTGAGCCAATATCGTTCTACTGTCAAACTTGCAAGGCATTAGTGTGTAAGGACTGTACCGATCTCGACCACCGACCACCACAACACAACACATGTTCTCTGCTAGAGGGAGCAGTATTATGCCGCCGAACAGTCGATAAACTTCTCACACTTTCAAGACAAACGGAAGCAAAGTTCAAAGGGGCCTGGGAAATTTTAACCTCAATGAAGGCAGAGCTTATGGAAACAACGAAGAGTCTTCGTTATCAAGTACAGGATGCATTCAAGAAAGAGAGGGACGTTCTCGAAGAACGGGAAAAGGAGTTCCTGTCTAAGATTAATGTCATCGAGAGACAGCGAGAGGCAACAGTAAATACGCACTTAGATCGAGTGGAGACTGTTCTGGAAAAGTTATGGACAGCATTTGACATGGCAGAAATGTTAATGGATAATGGAAATGATTTTCATTTCCTGAGCTTGGAACCGGTAGTTTGCACAAGGCTTCAATCGCTCTATAAAACCAGCCCCGAGCTTCCAAACTCAGACCTGACAATAATAGATTTAACGGATGAACAGAGAACAGACTCAGTGGAGGAACAGAACCCAGGCCCTCGTGCCGAAGCAACAGAAAAGGACAAAATGATCGTTTGGGAACTTGAAAAAACTGTAGGAGATCGAGGATCTGGGAAAGGGCAATTTGACTGGTGCAAGGGAGTAGCAGCCTCTTTGGATAGCCATGCGGTTGTTGCCGATTGGGGAAATGACCGTGTGCAGGTTTTTGACGACCAGCGACATTTTGTGTGTGTCCTCAACTCGAATAATCTTGAAAGCGGAAAACTTTCAATGCCGCATGACGTAGCTTGTCTTCTTGATGGTCGTTTCGTTGTAGTAGATAAATCCAGCTATGCCAAAATTTACGACCCAAATGGGATTTTCTTGGATAGATTTTCTACACTAACGGAGAGCGACACAAGACTATCAGCGGTTGAACTCAGTTGTGTCACAGTAGATCGTCGGAGTCGTATCCTGATCGGCGACTGCAAACGAAACTTAATAACGGTGCACTATGTTGACGGGAAGATAATCAAAACAATCCCAGCTGTTGGTCCTGAGCACATAGCAACAACCTCGAAGGATCTTCTTGTTGTCAGCTGCCCGCGGAAGCAGAAAGTCCGAGTAATGAATCATGAGGGACGATTTCTGTTTCAAATGGAAACCTTCGGAGCTGGTGAAAAACTTAAACCAAGAGGTGTTGCCTGCGACGATGAAGATAATATTTATGTGGTTCACAAGGAAAGAGGCGGAGAAAAATCTGTCCACGTATTCAATAACCATGGGAAATATTTAGCGTGTGTGGCTAAGAATCTCAGAGAACCATATGACGTTGACATAGCACCGAAAGGAAGAGTCATCATTTCCGATGACGATACCCTCAAAATCTTCACAAAGAAAGACCAAAAATAATTATCAACTTTTAGCACGCATGCGCATGAATCTGCCGTCTTGATGCTAGTTGTGATTTCATTCGTAAAGTGTTCGCCTTTTGCGGACGTGTAAGAAACTATATAGTTTGTGCGTTGGTGATTGGTCCCCGCGCGCTGTTCGCGAGCACGGTGCTGTGAAAAAGCGTATTCGTACTCCGTCGTGTCCGATGTAAACAACCGAGGTATTTTCGTCTTTTGTCTTTGAACCAGATGTTTGAAATAGGATAAGTAAACGTTCCAAAACATGGAATTTTTGGGGATTTCAGGACCTAGTGCAGACTTGACTCAAGTCGGAATTGCTTATAGTCGGTATCTTATTATTTTTTTAATCAAAATCACTTAGTTTACATCTTTTCAGAAGCACGATAACAATGCCGTATAACAGTGCGCAAACACTGTATGTACATTGTACAACACGCGTATTAAACGTATATGTGTGTGCATGTATTGCAGAGCATGTACATACATGTAGTGCAAAAGTTAGCAATTCCGACTTGATCATAGAGCTATATTAAATTACTAGAGCAATAACTTCGTGTACAAAGTAATGCCTGCTGGGCGCATCCATGTTTGTGCACAAACCCACTGGAGACCTAGAAATTTTGTACGACTTTTGTACAGCTATTTGCATATCTGCGTTTGTATTCCATACCGGTGCGTTATAATACGCCCAAAACCGAAACGCACGATCAGCAAAATAATGAGCGTGTCATTAAATGATGCGCAAACAGCACAACGCGTGCGCGTATTCGCTGCAGATGCTTTTTGCCGTCACGTTTTTTTTGCCGTCACGCTTTTTGCCGTCAATGACGCGCTTAAGTTGTTTGCGTATGTTCTACTTGCGCGTTGCATGTAGAGTACACTTTCCAAATTCAATCCATCTGATTTCATTATGTTCTACAAACACGCACATGAATTCAAACTGTCTGCGCCCAGGACGGCTTCAAAGCGTCTCCGCGCGCAGAATGACGAGTTAGCGCTCTAGTAATTTATTATAGCTCTATGGACTTGATCAATCTGCCATCGGCATCCCCCCCCCTCGCGTGAACGCGCACGTATTCATTGACGCATATGCAGCAACGTTGCTTGACCAATCAAAGTAACCAATTTTTGAAGACACGTTTATTATTTTCAGTAGGTATGGAAGGCTGGATAACAATCTGCAAAAGTTTTAAAAACGTACTCTTAATTTGTAGATTTCAAACACATGATATTTGGATGATTATGTTAAAGGTAGAGTCCATCATTTGTAATTTGTGCATTTTGTTCGTTTGAAGCAACAAAAGAGTTCAAAATCTAATGAAGGATACTGAGCAACTAACCTGATGAAGTTTCAGCTAAGCTTCAGCTGTACATTCCGAGAAAAACAGCATTCTAAGATCTCAATTTCAAATCAAAAGTTGCTGAATCATGTTTTGAATTGTTTTGAATTGCAACTATACGCGACGTCGCGCACTGATCCGACGAATTATAACAACCGCGCGCGCGTGTGCGTCGTTCGAATACTTGTGCGCGCTGCGCTGAATAACAAAACGAACTACTAATTTAAATTTTCCTACGGTGCTTCTTAAGAATCACCGTTGGAAATGCCTTCTTTCGTTGATTACTTCAAAATGACAGCTTCCCAGAAAGAATAATTTCACAGGGAGTTTAGTCTCCTTACTATCTTTCAACCAAGTTAGTTTTTCAACAATAATTACGCCAGTTACTTTTCGGATGGCTGCAAATGATGGACTCTACCTTGAAGATCATCCGTTCTTGGATGGAATTGATAATGAACACGACATTCAAATGTTATTCAAAACAAAAGGGAATTTTTGTTTTGTTGTGTTGAGATCCATTAATAGCGCCACGTGTTGTGCGTACCCAGAGCCGTTTCAAAGCATTCGAACGTAAGCGTGTGTGTGTCTGTTTCTATCATAGAGCTATATTAAATTAATATAGCTCTATGGTTTCTACTCCTCACCGTGGGATGCGTGTGCGCTCTCCGCGAAACTTTGGGCCAAGTTCGGGCAAGGACCATTAGTCGACAAGTGGTTGATTTGTGACGTACCTTACGCCTGCGCACTGATAACAACGTGCGAACGTCTCTAGTCGAACGCTGGTCAAAATGTCATTGCAAAACGTCTGGATCCTGGCTCCCTGCTGTACGTTATGAACGCGCGCGGCTATGGTTACCAGCGAAGCAACCAACCCCAGTAGGTTGGTTCCAAATACATGTAGTCGACTAGCGTAGTTAACCATCGTCGACTAGACAGAGTTCGGGCAAGCGTTAAGCCCGGTTCATACTTCACGCGAAAGCTTGTGCGAAGCGAAATTCATGTCGTCAACAATGGTACGCGCTTCGAATGTATTGTTGACATCACGAATTTCGCTTCGCTTTTGCTTTCGCGTGAAGTATGAACCGGGCTTAAGTCGACCAATGGTTAACTATAGTCCTTGCGCGAACTTGCCCTTGGCTGCGCGAATACGCAGACAACGCTGAATGCGTGTTAGGAACATAGATATCCGGTTCGTTAGTAAAAACGTCATACACGCACGCGCACCACTGATTACTAGCGCCCATTGGCTACAAACGCTCAAGCTGCGTTAACTTCCGGTTCCAATCGTGCAGAAAGTGCTGGAGGTGACGTCACACTAACGAACCGGATAGAATAAAAAGACTAGATCGGCAGCGCGTGCATACGCGCCATAGAGTGTGCACAACTTTTCCCGTTCCCGCATGGACGCTGTACGCGCAGTAGTGCGTGGGGGAAAAATGTGCGTTATGCGCACCTACATTCCCGTAGGTTTGTGCACAAACTTGCATTTTTATGTCCGTAAAAGTAACATTTTTACCAGTAGTATTATACAGCCAACAAAATTCAAAATGCATTTTCAAGCTGGATAGTCATCTCGAAGTTTGCTCCATTTTCCCCTCGTATATATTTTTCGTTTAAAAATGGCGGTGCGCGTTGCTAAAAATCTCCAGAGCGTCCATGCGGGAACGGGAAAATTTGTGCACACTCTATAGCGCGTATGCACGCGCTGCCGATGTAGTCTTTTTATTCTATATGGCTTCGATTTACGCGCATACTTCTTAGTTATTCTATACGCGCAGCATTTTGCTCACAGGCGCAATAGCAAATGTCGTGTCTAAGTTTTGTCTATGGTACCACAGAAACACATTATTGTCTGTGTCGTGTACAGTGTACAGTGTACGTATATGCGCTAGTGCGCACATTTAGATACAGACCGAGCGCAACCCAGACTAACGCGTGCGCGTTGGGAAACAACATGGCGCAGCAAGATCTCGTACCCATGGGAACGAGGTTGAGACCTAATGCCCCTTTAAAGGTATAGTCCATCATTTGTAATTGGTGCATTTTGTTCGTTTTAAGCAATAAACGTGTTCAAAATATAAAGAAGGGTGCTGAACAACTTACCTGATGAAGTTTCAGCTCAGCTTCAGCTGTACATTTCGAGAAAAACAGCATTCTAGGATCTCTATTTCAAATCAAAAGTTGCTGAATCATGTTTTGGATTTGGCCTGAATTCAGCGTCCGAGACACGTTCTCACTGAGCCGATTGCAGCTACGCGATGTCGCGCACTGATCCGACGAATTAAAGGAACCGCGCGCGCGTGTGCATCGTATCAACACTTGCGCGCGCTTCGCCGAATAAAAAAACCCGAACTTTACGGACATTTGGACGCACCGTGGAAAGGTTTTCTTTCGTTGACTTCTTCAAAATGACAGCATGCCACAAAGAATAATTTCACAGGGAGTTTAGTCCCCATACTAACTTTCAACTAAGTATGTTTTTCAACAATAATTACGTCAGTCCCTTTTTGGATAGCTGGACTAAATAGCTGGACCAAATGATGGACTCTAGCTTTAAATTAGGACTGCAGTCGAAGTATGTAACGCGCGACGCCATGTTTAAAAAGTGGCGCGCTCACGAACAATACGCGCTACGCTCAACGCGCACCAGCAGGCATTTGCTATCCGGTTCGTTAGTGTGACGTCACCTCCAGCACTTTCTGCACGATTGGAACCGGAAGTTAACGCAGTTCGAGCGTTTGCAGCCAATGGGCGCTAGTAATCAGTGGGGCGTGCGCGTGTATGACGTTTTTACTAACGAGCCGGATAGATAGTGGTGTTCCGTAACGTGGCGCACTTCGACATTTACCCCGACTTTCCTCATCAGTGTAGCCTTGACCAAGGCTATCAGCTTGTTCCCATACGAGCTTGTTCCCGCTACCGCACACCGCGACACAATCACTAGTTGTACTATACCGTTAGCCTCAACGACCCTTGCGTGTGCTTTGTGTGCATGTACGTACGCCCCACACACACTTCCGCAAACAGCCATACAGTATTAAGTCGAGGCGGAAGATACTTCCGCCTCGACTTACTGTACGGCTGTTTGCGGAAGTGAGTGTGGGGCGTACGTACATGCACACAAAGCACACGCAAGGGTCGTTGGGGCTAACGGTATAGTACAACATTGTGTTGATGCGCGCGCGGTGTGCGGTAGCGGGAACAAGCTCATAATGGAACAAGCTGATAGCCTTGGTCAAGGCTATCATCAGTGTTGCCAAACTTCTTTGTTGACAAACTTCAAATTCATTCAGCGAAATACAGTCGATCTCGTTAGTACAAACTCTGTTAATACAAAATTCTGGTTATAACAAACATAAAGCCTTGGTCCCGACTGTGCATTTATATACACAATGAATGGGACTGATGTTCCTCTTTATACACAATTCTGATATAACAAACAATTTAGCTAGGTCCGAACGAGTTTGTTACAAGGGCGGATCCGGAACCGAAACCAATTTTTTTTGTTATGTGACATCGCAATAAAGGCAGGCAATGAGTAAACCACCATCTTTTCCTCAAAAAAACATTGGTTAAAGTGGTCAGAAATTGCCTCAGATCGCACCACAGAGCATCTAGAATCCAAAAAAATTTCGGGGCCTTTAAGCGGGCCCCGAACCCCACGCCGTAATTTTTTTGACCCACTTTTTTGGGGGACCAAATTTTTTTGGCCCCCCCCCAAAAGAAATTTGTACTGGATCCGCCCTTGATTTGTTATAACGAGACTCGACTGTACTGGTACATTAACCTTATTAATACTTGCTATTTAACCTCTGTGAACAATTTCGGTTTCATGAAATTTAATCCGAAATTCAAAAACGGTGGTGTCCGGAAATCGGGCACAAAT